GCCATATCCCATGTTTCACAGACCCCAATTTGACTTTTGAGTATGTAATTTCGTTGGGTGGACCCCACTCATGTAGGAGGTCATCCCTTTAAGCCCGGAAGTGTACATTTGGTACATAAAGTTGTATTTTCTAGACTATTTAAATTAATTACCATTTTATCGGGTCTAATGAAATGTATATCATCCTCCCAATTATTATGGGCCTCTAACATGAATATATATTCTAAATATTATAAGACTTTATGGGCCTCTCGCCAATCAAATATGCCTCAAGCACATACGCCACAAAAAAAAATCAGTAAACCCCACGGACAGGACAAATTATACCGTACAACCGGCTGTACGGTGAGCACCGTACAACCGGGTATTTTTGAAATTAAATACAACTCCCAGCCTGAATCGTAGTAGTTGCTCCTTGCTTTTCTTCCGTTTTCCATTGTTTCCGTTAGTTTTTTTCCGCCGTTTCAGACCCATGAACCTGGTCTCTCCGTTGTTTGCTTTGTGCCGCCGCCCCACTCCTATTTTTTGTTTTACTTACTTTTTCAATTTTCTTTTTCTTTTGTTTTGTTACATACGTTTCGTGCTTGCTTTTAGCTTTTAGTTGTTGGTTTCTTTCTGTCGTTTTCTTTGTTTCGTTTTCTTTACTTTTTTATTCAAAAACCATTGTTTTGATTTCTTGTTCAATTATCATGTAAATGTATAATATAAACAATCTGATGTTCGAGTTTTTTTTTCTTTTTTCAATTAACATTCTAACTTAAGTCTTTTTAATTTTTGCGTTATAAAATATTTTAGCTATTAATGTTTTATTTTTCTATTTCTTATTTTAAGATAAACATTTATTAGTTATTAAATATTTTTTGTTAATTACTAACATGAGTTTTGTGATATACTAAAATGAGAGTAGTGTAAAAGAAATATGCACAAATGAAGATTTGAACACATTAGAGAATTCAAATGAGTTTTTTAATTTTTTGATGCTCATTTTGTAAGTTATTTGTGTTCATCTCGTACTAGTTTATGCTCATTTCAAAATGTCATAGTTAAATTATATACATGGGAAAAGTGGTCATGAAAATCAATTGCATGTTGCTGATACTCAATTGAGCAGATTTGATGTTCATTGAAAATGTCTTGATGCTCAGTTAACCAAACTTATGATTTCGATATCATTACTCATATCGTAAATGATGTACTCATTTGGTAATAGTGTTCTGCTCATTTTAAAATGTTATGTCAATGCACTTCACGTCGGCTTCCGTGGCTCTCGTGGCCACATCATCACAATGAGTTTTATGTTAAATTCAAATGAGTATAACTCCTAAAATGAATATGCAGACACAAATGAGCTTTTTATTTTTCAATACTCATTTTGTAAGTTGTGAGTGCTCATTTGGTACCGATCTGCTACTCATTATATTTTTATACAAGACTTGATTATAGACACAGGAGCACAGATTGCTCAATCACATAATTCTAATACTCAATAGAGAAGGTTTGATACTCAATTAAAATATGAACAAAAAAACTTATGATTTTTATATCTATGCTCATTTTATATGTTACATATGATCAATTGATACCGATGTTATGCTCATTTTTAAAAAGCCATGACAATGCATTATTTCAAAAGTATCATATTACATTAGATTCGCATATTGAAATTCATATGAATTGATTATAGATATAATTTAATGAGATTTTATAAAAGAAAAAATAAGAAAAAGAAAGTCAATTACAATATATGAAGTTGATATCACAATACTCATTATTTTTCTCTTAATGCTCAATAGAATACATTTGATGTTCATTAAAAGTGTATCAATGCTCATCTAACGAAATCCGTGATTTTTACTGAAATTACGAAAATGCCACCGTTTTTTAGTTGTGATATCATCATTCTTGTAATAATACAACGCTCATTATTGGGCGCTTAATACTCATTAAAATTGGACTATTGCTCATTAACAATACACAAATGCTCATTTAGCAGAAACCGCGATTTTTACATTAATTACAAAATTGCCACCGAATTATTTTCCTAATTTTCCATTAGGCCTGAAACTGGACCGGCTGTACGGTGCTCACCGGACAGCCGGTACCATATACGAACTCCACGGATAACTGCAACAATGAAATCCAATTGCTCTATTGAAACTAGTATTGTACCCGTGCGTTGCACGGTGGGTGAGTTTGAAGATGGATAAAACCATCGTGTTCCATAAAATTTAATTGGTTATAAAGTTAAATATCATAGGTTATGCTACGAAGAACACAAAGTAGTGTAATATGTATATTTTAAGTACAACACCCGTGTGATGCATGGTGCATGAATTGATATATAAAATATAATTAGTATCTAATGTTAACATGTATCCATATTGTAAGAAAGCTAAATGATAATGATATAAAAATAAAATGTAATAATGAGACCGTATGCATACTAATATTACAAAATCATACATACAATAATAACATTCAAGCGTTAGCCAGATTGTTTTTTATGATCGTTAATATGAATCAGTAGGTGATATTAGAGTAAAATGAAGAGAAAGATAAGAAGATAAAGTATTATAAAAAAAAAATATAACATAAAAGATTAGATAAAATAGAGAAGATATAAATAAAAATGATAAGATAAAAAAGATAAAAAGATTATATATATGTGTGTGTGTGTGTATATATATATATAGGAAGGTTGAAATACAGAGTAGTCCTTATATATATGAAAAATAAGAAGTAATTTTAGACATTAAAATGAAAAAAAAGTGGATCGGATTAAATTTAGAGCGAAAAAATGCAGTTGAAAAGGTGTAAATAATAGGAACTTTTTTGAAAAAAAAAATTGAGAAATGTCTATGAGTATGGAAAAAAGCGCATCTAGCTAAAAAAAAAGTATATCTTGCCTCGAAATGAAATAAGAATTATAAAAATTGATATGTAACATTTTAATGAATTAAATGTGTGCATCTTTAAATATCGCATATGCACTTTTGTTATTAAGTATCGCACATTTTGTTTTATTATTTCCCAACGCGATTTTTTATTTATTCCATCCATTTCAGTGATCATGGACTTAGATCACTTCTCACTTTTCATGTGAAGATCTCGTTGCACACACACACAGAACAGTTCCGGCGAGAAATGACTCACAGGAAAAAACATAATAAAGATAAAGAAGATAAAGAGAAGAAAATGATAAGAGATTAATCCATAACACGAATACTCACCCTTCACTTGACCCTCTCCAAAGTCATGCTCTCATCCAATTCAAGAAGCACATCAATCCTGACTTCTCTAATCCACGCTAGGTTGGGACCTCATCATCTCTCCTCTCCTCCCAACTGCATCTTCTCCACACGGACTCTCAACCCGTGTAACAGTACATCACTTGGTCTTCAATGTACATGGTCAAAGCACCGTAATCGAGACTATCACATGAGATATATATATGAGAATATAATATAAGTTTTTATACGATTGACTCCAAATTAGAGACTTTGATTATTTTAGATGATATTCATAATTTCATCACCCGTACTATCATCATTATTTTGAATGACGATTTTGAGAATTGCATGATTTGTAACCTTTGACATCGAAACATACAACCCTTGACGGCAAAAGTTAACATAAGTCATTGAAAATAATACTGTTGTACTACGTATGTTTTATCAACTAAATATGAAACTTTCATGGTTACTGAAATATCAATATGCTTCAATTTTCTAGATAAAATAAATATTTGGATTTAATTTTAGAGAGAATATTGAATTTCGAATTTCTTAATAATCAATGACCACATTTATTTATGAAGGGGGGACTTATCTCTGTGACAAAAACATTCATAGATACACATTTATAAGAATAATAGTAATAAAATTAATGGGATAAAAAGTAGCATTAAAACACGCACAGTACACACAAAAACAATTAATTTAGAAATAAAATCTGGTTTGCGATATTTTACTAATCACCGCTTCTTTTAGTCTAGTAATTTTCTCATTTGAGATCTAATGAATGAATTCCAATGTCTAAAACATGGTATATTGAGTAAGAAAAAAGTAAATGTATGGTTTTGGTTGAGTAAGAAAAAAGTAAATGAGTGATAGTCACACAAAACTTTTTAAAAAGGGAAATGAGAACTATTTTTTTGGGACAACTCAAAAAAGAAAGTGAAAATTATTTCGTGGGACGAAAGGAGTAATTTGTAAAAATAAAATTAGTATTCCGTATTCGTTTTATAAATAATACAGCAAAAATAACCAAAATGAGATATTTTATACTTAGTAAATAACTCATCGATCTACATATATGACCAAAATTTACGTTCAGTGAAAACGTTGCCTGATAAGTCTGATAAGGCGAAAAACATGGTAACCAAACGTGATTGGTGATTTTTTTCAAACACGGAAACCACCTATTTAGGAGCGGTAAATGTCAGGGAACACTTACCTAATTTAGAGTCCGTTTGGTGACCCTGTTTTTCGCCTTATTAGAGTTATCAAACAACTTTTTCACCAAACACGTAAATTTTGATTTCTACGTTGAATTGTGTAATAGTAATGTGTAATAATAAAAAAAAGTAAGGTTGGAGTTACATGTCTGACTGTATTTGCTGAAGTTACTGTAGAGAACCATTTTAGCTATTTTCCATATAAAATTTTCTTTATGTAATTAAAAAAAAATATCTCAAATACAATTTTTTCATAAATTAGCAGAATTAGCAATACAACCACTTCAGCCATATTTTCATTAATTTCAACAAAATCAGTCAATTCAACCGATTTTGGTATTATCAAACAGACTCCTATGAAGTAGAGTTGATATAAAGAACTTGGGCTAGTCTCAAACAAAGCCCCATAAGTAAAAAGGAGAAGGAAGGCTACTGCTAAGATGGGCTGTGATCCAAAGTGGTCCAAGGTCCAAGAGAGAGTGTGGCCCGCTGGAACATAACAAATACAAATCCAGGCAATCAAAGTGTCGGCCAAATTTGTAGCCCTATCGTTCTTTTCATTTCGCACATCGATAGAGAGGGGGGTCGAGAAAGTTATGGCCGTTGTAGGCTCTCATCCTCGTCCCGGAAGGGGATGTTGGATCCGGCCGGCGTATTACGGATGTGAAGGACTATGCTTTGCTGATCGTCGGTTGGGGGAGGTTTATCTCCTTTATGAGCTTCGACGTTCGTTCACTCTGGAGGTCGCTGTGGTTCTTGGTCGGATCTGCTGCTGGTGTAAGGTGAGTTTTCTGTCCGTTTTGATTTGTGATTTGGATGTTTTGATTTCGCACCGGTTTGATTAAAAGCGTTTGCGGTTGTGTACATGTTGACCGGATATTTTTCCTTTGCTTGGATGGTTCGCTGATGGTTGTCTGTGATGTGTGATGGAGTTTGAAAATGTTCATTCTGGATTTGAGCTATCGGATCTGTGTTGCTTCTCCCTGTCTTGGCGATGCTCGCTTTAGGGATGGAACATAGGTTTGCTTATCTTTTCTTCGTCTCTTTTGTGCTTTATTTTTGAACAGTGGCATCAAATTGTCTAGATGTAATTCTTTGTCAAACTGCACGAAGCTTTTATTCTTGTTGCAGCAGCACCAATTTGTTGTAATGATAAAGGTGATTTCTAAACGAAATCGATATAATTTTGATATAAGATTATATTCGCAAGGCCATGTATTTACACTCTCATTTTCAATTATTGAGGTGTATTATGCCCTACTCCAACATTCTGTTCAAATTCACATTATATTATTGGAAACTGTTTTTACTTAACCTAGGGGTTTGAAAAGCCTTTTGAGATCCTTCTAAAAGGCCAAAAAATATTTGTAAGTCTTAAGTAAATACCTGTATGGCTGCACCTATATTTTAAATTAAAGCAAGTGCTATTAGTTGTGTGTACTGTTTTTTAACCTAGGGCTGTACCTATATTTTAAATTACCACATATGGAGTACCATACAAAGTGTCAATAAAGTTGTGTGTACTGTTTTTTAAGGATTGATATTTGTTGGTTTACCTCAAACCAAGGTCACCATTTTCAGATTCTGTTGAAAGAGCTTGTGCTATAGAGCTTGTCCATAATGGATTTGGCAATTCAAAATTATCTAAAACGTAGTATCTCTCAAAATATGCGAATTTCATTTGGATTTCATTGTAGCTTACCACTTCCACAACCAAAGGCAACAAATGCATTTTAACATTTTGCTAGCCTGCATTCATTTTAACTACTCTCCCTTTCAACTGATCATATATATGGTAATATGAAAGTAAGAATTTTAACAAATATCATGGAAATCTATTCACTTTTGTAGCAGGTTCTTTAATGATTTTGAAAATTGTAATAATCTTCATGTGATAAGAGCATTTGATGGGCATGTGGCATATGATGTAAGTAAAGAATGTTCTTATAGTTCATTCATCTATTTTGCTTTTATTGCTTAGATAAAACTATCACTGTTTGATTTTTGTAAACAATTAGAATTAGTTCTCTAATTAATTAAGTGAAATTGTTGAAAATAGCTTGATTTGAATGTAAATTTGTTTCTCAATTTGTGCCTATTTAAATGTAAATTATTTATGTCCTCAGGACCTTAACCACACAATCAATAAATAAAATAAATGGATTCAACAGTTTTCTTCAGTTTTAACTTCAATTAGTTTATGTTCACATTATTGTCAACATATGACTTCGCATGGTAATCTTTTGAAATGAACAAACTCGTGGTATAGAGTGGAATACCTTCTTATGTAACTATATTTAGGATAATTCCTTCCATTTCCACTGTCTATAATCAGTTATAATCTATGAAACTAATAAAATATAGCAGAAAAACAATTTATTATTATGTCTAATCAATTTACTATGAGTGTGAATAAAAAATGAGTTTAGGATATAAGCCTTATGTTTGGTTTTTCATGAGCTAAAAAATACCATTATGTATGACTGTGAAGAGACCCATTGCTTCTTAGAAGCTTGCTATTTTGTAAAATCAAATAACTTGCAGTAGATCTACAATTTTTCTTCTTTGGCTTATACTTATAATAAAGTTGAATGCCCATTTGCTTTCCTCCTTCCGGTAGTATATACTGCTATACTTTCCATTCATTACATACATGTATTCATAGATAATATCATTGCTTATGCTTAAAACTTTGAAAGAGAAGAAACATAACAATCAAATGTATTCATTGGAAGTCAGGTTTCTATTATTTATAGCTAAATAATTAATGCTATACTTCAAAGACAAATGTTAACTATACAACTAATACAACTAAAGAAACACAACTTATAATATCGATAGATCTTAATGGTTGTGGATTTAGTTATAGTTTAAACATATCTGGATATACAATCAACAATATTTCTTTATCCTTGACTTAAAACATCTACATATCAATCATTAAATTAAGACTAAGCAGTACTCCATTTATTTTTGTATCCTAATCCTAAGCAAATAATAAGTTCACATATCACTCACATGTAATTGCATTTATACCTACCTTTTGTTGTTCTTAGCATCTCATGTTTATTTTTCACTTGATCAAAAGAAAAGATAAATAACATAGTAGTTCATTCAACTGATGTATGTTAGATAGTTGAACAATATTCAAACAATCAATCAGTTTTCATTTAAAGCAAAATATTGTAATTTAGATCTCTAATTAAGAGAAGAACTACTTGGAATGATACTCTTTCGTATTCCAGGCTGATAATAAAGAGAGAAAGAGAAGAGGTTGAAGTATTGATAGGAAAGTGGATGATCTTCCCACAAAGAAAATCCTGGCCAGGTAGAAGGTGAGTGGTGTTTTTTTGCAATGAGGATTCTAGTATTTATAGGGAAAAATGAACAATCCTTCCGGAGGAAGGTTCACGTGTCCCAAGAGACAGGCTGGTTGTATTATGAAGTGATATTTTTTTCTTCTTTTTCAGATTTAATACTCCTTATTTTATGGAGATGTGTGTACGCATGCCTCAACATAAACTCAAGATAGACAGGCTGGCTGAAATGTTGAAGATGCTCAATGTTCCATCAATATTTCCCTTTTTACTGTTTAATTCTACCGTATATGATGTATATCTTTCAACTTTATACTGTAGATCATGTATAACTTTTTACTTTTTGGCAATGGCTAATTGTGAATAACGGCTCTACTGTTCAAAGTGTAATCATTATTTAATGTTTTGCAATTTTACCCTTCATAGAGGCTATTTCACAGGGCTAGTTATGTAATTTCTCCTTGTGGATTTTTGCCTTAGGAATATGGGCGGGAACACTGTTGAAAAAACAGTGTTTTCATGGATTTTGCTTTTATATTATAGTAGATATAAGACTGATGCCCAACATTGAAATAGAATACACGTGTTAGAAACTCGAGAAGGTGTCTATCCCAAGGTTAAAATTCCTTAAAATCATAATTAGGTGATGCTATAAGACATAAAATTTCCAGCTGCCTGGGTTATAACCACGTTAGCAACATAATTTGGTTTGTCTCTGACTCTCTGAATCCTACTTTCCAGAATTCCAAACGGACAACAAGAACTCAACCAAATTTTTAAAACTCAAGAAGCCTAATCCAAATACATGTATATATATAACTCCGAACCAGAATCAGCAACAAAAAAAAATCCGGCCAAAACAGTCTCCCATTTTGAACGTAAATACTACTCCCCCCGTAACATTCATATCTTCTCACTTTCCTTTTTTGGACGTAACATATATATCTTCCCATTTCTAAATCTTCCTATCATACCCTCAATAATTTAAAAAATAATACACTACTACACCTACTTTTTTTGGATTTATCCTTCATTCCATCACTTTATTTCACCATCTTCCCATCATACCCTCACTAATTCATACCCCATTTCACTATTCTTAATCTCACCCACTTTGGAAGTGGGAAGATATATGTGATACGGAGGGAGTATCGTATAAAACTACGGGAAAAAAAAAAGAGTAAAACTGTAAAACCTTTAGCAAATGCATAGAACACTGAAAATTAAACTTACTAGACAAGAGATGGAGATACAAGGGATTAGGGGACCAGGGGTGGCCTCGGGCCGGGCCAACCAACCCGGAACCGGCCCGGACCGGTACTGTCTGTACCCGGCCCGGTCCGGAAACCGGTCTGGGCACCGGTTCGGGCATACCCGGCCCGGTAGTGTAGCGGTTGGATCGGGCCTAAGAAATCATGAACCGGCCCGGCCGGGTCGGGCCCGGTCCGGACCACAACGGTTCTATTTAAAAAAAAACAACCTCCTAGCCGTTGGGGATAATCCCAAACAGCTCTATAGCCGTTGGAGGGGGGGAAAGGGGGGGGTCCGGGGGGGGGGGGGGGGGGGCTGGTGGGGGGGTGGGGTGGGGGATACCAAAAAAATCCTATTTATGCTCCTATTTTCTCTACATTTTTCGCATCATATTCATACAATCCTACTCTCTAATTTTCTATTCTCTCATACTCAATCATCTCCATCTTCATCTTCTCCAAATCTATCTCTCTCTCTCTCTCTCTCTCTCTCTCTATATATATATATATATATATATATATATATATATACACTTATTATCTACTTATATATTAATTATCTACTTATATACATATATTATATTACTAATATTTATTACCTACTTAATATATACTTATTATCTACTTATACATCTCCATCTTTTTAATATTCACTTTGATATCTACTTATTATCTATATTTATTGTTATTTACTTATATATATTAAAGTATTATATATAAGTGTATTACTCATCTTATAGTAATATACTTATATATTATATACTATAAACATTATATTATATATTAGTTATACAATTATCTACTTATATACATATATTATATTACTAATATTTATTATCTACTTAATATATACTTATTATCTACTTATACATCTCCATCTTTTTAATATTTACTTTGATATCTACTTATTATCTATATTTATTGTTATTTACTTATATATATTAAAGTATTATATATAAGTGTATTACTCATCTTATAGTAATATACTTATATATTATATACTATAAATATTATATTATATATTAGTTATACAATTATATTAGTTACACTTGAATTCATAGTAATTAAATTCATCGTATTAGTTAATTTTTACATTTCTCATTATCCTAATTTAGTTAATTAATACTTGTCTCGTTTTTTCTATTAGTTAATTCATCGTTTTTTCTATTCATAGTAATTAAATTCATCGTATTGTTACATTTTTCATTTCCCTATTAGTTAATTTGTTAATTGTTGCATTGTTCATTAAAGTATAAAACTAGTTAATTGTTACATTTTTTATTTCCCTATTAGTTAATTTGTTAATTGTTGCATTTATCATACAAGTATAAAACTAGTTAATTGTTACATTTTTCATTAAAGTATAAAACTAGTTAATTGTTACATTTTTTATTTCTCTATTAGTTAATTTGTTAATTGTTGCATTTATCATAAAAGTATAAAACTAGTTAATTGTTACATTTTTCATTAAAGTATAAAACTAGTTAATTGTTACATTTTTTATTTCCCTATTAGTTAATTTGTTAATTGTTGCATTTATCATAAAAGTATAAAACTAGTTATTTGTTACATTTTTCATTAAAGTATAAAACTAGTTAATTGCTACATTTTTTATTTCCCTATTAGTTAATTTGTTAATTGTTGCATTTATCATAAAAGTATAAAACTAGTTAATTGTTACATTTTTCATTAAAGTATAAAACTAGTTAATTGTTACATTTTTTATTTCCCTATTAGTTAATTTGTTAATTGTTGCATTTATCATAAAAGTAGAAAACTTGTTAATTGTTCATTGTTGCATTGAAGTTTAAAACTAGTTAATTTTATTAGTAAGTGGATTCTTGGAAATTTGCTACTCCGTATAATTTTATTAGTTGCATTTTTTTATTACTATTGTACTTATATTAAAACATTTTATATATAATATAATATTTGTTACATTTTAAAGATGAACCGTGGTAGACATTCCGTAGATATGGGTAATCCCCAACGCAACCGAAGGAAGGAGATTGCGACGACTCATCCTAGTTTACGCAAAGGCAAAGGTAAAGGGCGGGCCGGGTCTTCCTCTCAAAGTCGAGAAGATTTTGAAACGGGATACCAAAGGCGAGATGGGGATGTGATGTCCGACGAGCAACTACAACAACTATTGGCGCAAAATGATGGACGCTTTTTCCAACAACAAACATCCCGGAGTCCATTGATGAAGAGAAACTCGAGGATGAGGATGCGGAGGAGGACGAGGGGGGCGGGATTCACGGCACCCCGGATGATGAGCAGGAGTTGGAGGACGAGGGCGGTTCATCCCAAATTGGTAAGAAATCTAAGAAGTTGTTCTGTTCGTCTTAATCTTATTACTAATTGTTTATTCTTATTTTATTCAGATCAGATCAGATCAAATCAGAAAAATTCAGATCAGATCAGATCAGATCAGATCATAAAGATTTAGATCAGATCAGATCAGAATCATTCAGATGAGATCAGAAACATGCAGATCAGATCAGAAACATTCAGATCAGATCAGAAACATTCAGATTAGATCAGAAACATTCAGATCAAATCAGGAACATTCAGATCAGATCAGAAAAGTTCAGACATGATTTATCCCTTTTATTATAATAATAATTATAACAATATTATTATTAATAATAATAATAATAATAATAATTATTATTATTACTACTATTATTACTATTATTACTATTATTATTATTATTATTATTATTATTATTATTATTATTATTATTATTATTATTATTATTATTATTATTATTATTATTATTATTATTATTATTATTATTATTATTATTATTATTATTATTATTATTATTATTATTATTATTATTATTATTATTATTATTATTATTATTATTATTATTATTATTATTATTATTATTATTATTATTATTATTATTATTATTATTATTATTATTATTATTATTATTATTATTATTATTATTATTATTATTATTATTATTATTATTATTATTATTATTATTATTATTATTATTATTATTATTATTATTATTATTATTATTATTATTATTATTATTATTATTATTATTATTATTATTATTATTATTATTATTATTATTATTATTATTATTATTATTATTATTATTATTATTATTATTATTATTATTATTATTATTATTATTATTATTATTATTATTATTATTATTATTATTATTATTATTATTATTATTATTAATTTATTATTATTCTTGTTGTTATTGTAATTATTATTATAATTACTATTATTATTGATATCATCATCATCACTATGATTATTATTATTATTATGATATTTATTATTATCATGATTATTATTATTCTTATTACTATTATGGTTGTTGTTGTTATTGTTATTAGTATTTTTTTGTTATTATTATATTACACGGAGTAATTACAATTAAAATTATAAAAATAAATATTATAATTATAATTAAAATTATAATTATAGAAATAATTATAACTAAAAATATAATTACAATTATAATTATAGCTTTTTTTTTGTTTACTCTAGGAGACGTCTGGGCGGGGGTCTGGGGGGGGGGGGGGTCTGAAGTTAATTGAGTTGAAACTCATCCCATTGAGTTTCGAACCCGAGACCTCCCATAAGGGAGAGTGAGTCGGCGACCAACTGAGCTGGACCGCTTCCTCTAATTATAGCTATATTTATAACTAGTGTAATGCGTATAATAATAATTATACCTATTATAATTATTATAATTATAATTATAATTTTTTTATAATTATGATTATAATTATGATTATAATTATAATTATATCTAAATTATATATGTGTAATTACATTTCTAATTATTATAATAAAAATTATAATTATAATTATAATTTTAGAAATATTTAAATCAAACCAGATCAGAAGGATTCAGATCAGATCAGAAGGATTAAAATCAGATAAAAAACATTCAGATCAGATCAGGAACATTCAGATCAGATTAGGAATATTCAAATCAGATCAGGGACATTGAGATCAGATCAGACCAGATCAGAAAGATTCAGATCATATCAGATCAGATCAGAAACATTCAGATCAGATCAGATCAAGAAATTAGCATCACCCTCTCCCAAGACTTTATGGATGGATCAACAACCAAGGGTGGCTCCTATGCCAGAGATTCCGATTGATTAGTATTTTACAATTTATTATAAAATGTATTTCATGTTTTAATTTTCCCCTCAATTCTCTATTGTAATTTGTAAACTTATAGTTCATATTTCAAATAAATATACATTTTTTTTATATGTAGCACTTCTCAAATCAATTAATTAGTTACAAACTTACAACTTAAAACTTAGAATTAATTATATTAGTATTTATTAGAAAATGTATTTCACATTGAAGTTGTATCAATAAGTAAAGAAAAAAATTACATAGGCCCGACTCGACCCGCGGGTGGCCCGGCCCAGGACCCGGGCGGGTGACCTGGCCCGAACCGGCACCGGCCGAAGGACGGGCCGGTCACGGGCCCCCCATTCCAGAACCCGAGGTCCGACCGGGCCCGAGTCCAGGCCTACAAGGGACACATGAGCTTTGACAAAGGGTTGAGTAGTAAACCTTTGAATCAAGAGAAGGAAAGGGGGAAATCAAAGAGATTGGTTCCCGATCGATTGTAGATAGGGATGGACTCGGTTCGGGCCAACTGGAACCAGCCCACTACTGTGCGGAACTGGTTCCGGTTCCGGGTCTAGGCCCGGCCCAAGGGGGTGACCGGTTCCAGTTCCGGGTCATGAAAAAGGCAAACCGGCCCGGCTAGTTCAAGCCTTTTTTTGGGTGTGGATTGGGTTTAGGTTGGCTGGGTTGGGTGTTTCTGATGGGTTTGGGGGGTGGGGGTTGAAATAACTAAGAAAACAAAAAAAAAAATGATCCAAAACTGGATCGACTTAGAACCATTAGACTCCCGAGCCAGTTCCGATACTTACACAAAACCATCCAAGCCCGACCGGATCCAGGCCCGAACCGGAACCAGACCGAGCCCGGTCCACCTCTAATTGTGGACAGGCTGAGATAACTTTTTTCAATCAGGTCAAAATTCAACTTTCGGAAGTCAGAACTAGAAACATTTTTTAGCAGGATAAGAGTATATGACATTGAAATCGGTTACTTGGCCCGCATCAGTGTTTTGGTTAAAAGCCCTAAAATTGTGGTGTTACAATCCTAACGGCTATATGCCCCTCCACCATCTCCCCTGTATTTAAAAAAAAATCTAGCTGCAGAACAGAGACCAAGCACGCCGAACACGAGTCCACAGAGACCAAGCACGCCGGACACAAGTCCACCTCACAGGTTGGGGAGATTGTTTTAGTCACCTGACAGGGAGGGAGGACTGAGGAGTAGGGGTGGGATCGGTCCGGTCTGGGTCGGGTTTTTGCTAAGCCCGGAAATTACCCGGAAGGTCTCGGGTTATGAAAATTAGGGACCGAAACAAAGCCCATTATATTCGGTCCGAGTCGGGTTTTTGGCAGCCCGGGTTCGGTCCGGGTTCGGGTTGGACCGGTTAAAGCCCGGCCGTGAAATATGTCATTGTTCTTTTATATTTAACACTTATTTTCAAATAAAATTAATCAAAAATACAAACCACAAATAATAACACAAATATTAGTCTCCAAAATCACCAAAAATTCAAATTTAAAGAAGATAATTATCTTAATATTTTATGTAAGATGTATATATATAAATAATATAGGGTTCTTAAAAATATTACGAAATAAATTTTATAAATCAAAAAGTTACTAGAGTTGCTATAAATATATTCTCATGGTCATCATTACACTAAACAAATTCAACATATTTGTAGTCACCAAAAGCTACTAAATCTTTTTTTATCCACCATGAATATAATCGTATATTAGGAAATATTTTATTTATATTCATATACTATATGAATTTTATTTTAAAACTAATTGTTTCGGGTTTTTTCGGTCCGGGCCGGGTTATAGATTTTAAGGCCCGTTAATGAGCCCTGAATTTTCGGTTCGGTCCGGGTTTTTTTTAATTCGGGCCGGTTAAAAAGAAAAAACCCGGACCGGGATCATAATTCGGGTCGGTCCAGGGTCGGTTTCCGGGTTTCGGTTCGGTTTTTCCCACCCCTACTGAGGAGTGAAACCCCATCCTCATTGACATCCATTCCCAGGTCCAGTCCTTAAAACAGGTATTAAGCATGCATAATTAGTTGTAGAGAAAAAATAGTACTACGTATGTATGAACAAATACAAATTTAACAAACGATATAAATTAACTTGAAATACAGCAACCATATTTCCCATTGAGATCTCGTTATTGGTAATATATGCTCGTCAACAATTCATGATTAAGATAAAAAGCAACTAAATTGGAATATCTACAAGTGATGTCTTAACATCATTACTTGATAAACATTATGATCTAGTCATTGTTACATAAGAGCATATTTTGTGGCCCCTTCAAAATACATAGTCGCTGATATCCACATCTTCTACACTTCAATCATCTGCAGCTTAAACAATAAAAAGTAAATGAATCACTCCATATATATTTAATCATACAACTCCTATATAGGCTTGGGACCGGTTCGGTTCTTAGGCGAAATATGTGGAGCCGTTTGAAAATACTGAAATTGTCCTAAATAGGAGTAAAAATGTGTTGAAATTCCAAAATAGGAGTATCATGTTTTTTATTCCCTGGATAGGAGTAATCTGCCAAGTTTGGGAAAAAATGTCATGTTAAAATCCTTGTAATGCCGAACTTGGCAGAAATTTACTCCTATTGAGGGAATAAAAAACATGATACTCCTATTTTGGAATATTTCAAAACGTTTTTACTCCTACTTAGGGAATTCTCTCTTGAAAATATGAAATTTTGGTAACGGTTTGGTTCTTATAAATTATTTTAGAGAACCGATAAGGAACCAAACCATTCTTAACGGTTCGGTTCTTGTCATTTAACGGTTCATAGTATTTAAAAAAATTCTTACAAATCACGATTAAATTTGTGCCAAAAAGACATTTAATGTTTGAAATTACAATATAAATATGTTGAACATCATTTCAAACCTCAAAAGTTGAGTTTAAAACATAAATAAATAACAACCCGCAAATTTTAGGAAATAAAACAAAACAAGATATTCGCTTAGAAACCCAAAAGAACCGTTTAAAATGAAAAATAATTTTTAAATAGTTAAATAACTAAACTAAAATAGTGAATGTAATATAAAAACAGATAAGTAAATATACATTAAAATATATATACTAAAAAGAAATATATATAATTTTAATTATTATATATAACGGTTCCTTAACGGTTCCATGTACATATTTTTTTCAGGAACCAAAAACCGAACCATTAATACAAAATAGGAACCGAACCATTAACAAATAACTAATAAATTTTGAAACCAAACCAAACCGGGTCATAACGGTTCGGTCCGGTTCAGTTCTCCGGTTCTTGGTTCCAAACTTGGGGAAATCTACATCAGCGCTCTCAATGTATATATCATTGTTCTAAAAATCACTCTAAGCGCACCACTAATCGCCCCCTAGGTGCTAAGCGATGGCCGGATACCCCAATTTTAGTCTAGGCGCTCAGACTAATTGTTTTGACGCCTAAGTAAATTTGTCAGCCACCTAGGACATCATGTTGCCGCCCAGAGCGCCTAATCGACCACCTAGGGTGACTACATTCATTGAACAATTTTTGTTGGTTTTTTAATTTGTTTTTCGAAGGTATATATGTACTTTTAATTTAACCACATATGAAAAAAAGCAATTAATAAATTAGGATAAAAAAGTATAATGTAGGGGTGCGTTCAAGTAAAAAGTAACCTTCTCATGCAAATGGATGGATTAGGTGAAATTTAATCACAATACACATTATCAAAAAAAGTGCAAAAAGTTCATTGTATAACGTGGATAGATAATGAACAAAAGTTTACTCAAAAGTGTTAAAAAAGATTAATATTTTTTTTAATCTGTGCACATTTAATTATGTACTGCAATGCACTTTTGTGTACATTCTTACTTTTTGCATTTCCTCGTACATCGTAATTATCTATGTCACCGTGTTTCCTACTTAAAATTTGATGTCTTCCATCCATTTTTTCACATCAATAGCCATGGTTATTTCTCATTTTTCATCTATGAATTACTTTTTATTTGAACCAAAGTCTATATATATATATATATATATATATATATATATATGTATATATGTATATATATATTATTTTTAATGTTCATCAAGCGATTAAAATGACAAATTATAGTATTTCATTGTTTTTCATACTCCCGAATTCATCTTTATCAATGTTGCACAACTTGTTGTCGCTTGGGCGGCTACTAAATTTTCATCATGTCGTGTATGAAATGGGGGTTATAGGGTTGGATACGTGTATCGGTTCACAGGTACGGGTATCAAAAGTATCAGTGTTATTACAAATAAGCCCGATACTTTTATTAAATTACGGATATGGGCCCAATACGTACAGGACGCATATCGGTGAGTATCGGTATCGGATACGGCATCGGGGTGAAGTATCGGTGCATCATAGGCTGGTCTGGTCTGAACTGGTCTGATTTCTTTGTATTTTTATAACTATCCAAATCGGGTCTGCTCTGGGACAAATTACAATCCAAGTAAAAACCTCCTAATTGCTTAGTTATAATATATTATTATATGTGACAATCCTATCATTCATGTTAATGTGTCATGTGTGTATAAAACTATAGGGAAACGGGTCAAATAGGCCCTCAAACTTACATAAAAAGTTCAAATAAGCCCTTATATAGGAGGCTTTGTCCGGTCGTCGTCATTTGGGGCAGTTCCCGGTGAAATTTTTTTATGAAATTTTTTGAGCATCTTATTCATTAAATCTAGTTTACTCATACCAAATTTCAGCTAAAACTTTAATCGGGAAGACATTCAAATGAATTCTTGAAGATAACTGCGCTTTTAACTGCGCAGTTATCTTCAAGAATTCATTTGAATGCCTTTCCGGTTGAAGTTTTAGCTGAAATTTGGTATGACTAGACTTAATAAATAAGATGATACAAAAAATTCATCAAAAAATTCCACCAGGAACCGCTCCAAATGGCGACGGCCGGACAGAGCCTCCTGTATAAGGGCTTATTTGACCTTTTTATGTAAGTTTGAGAGCTTATCTAACCCTTTTCTCTAAAACTATACACAAACACCATACTTGTTATGATACAGAGCAGCAGATCGCTCCTGAGGAGCCAGCGATCGAGGAAGATCAGGGCCTTAGGCCCTGGATTGTTTACCGGCGGCGTGGACGGGATGGGCCCACATCCGTGGGCTGGGGCGACCAGCTTAGTGGCTGAATTATTATGGTCTTAATTAAATTAGTTATTAATTTTTAGTATGTTTCCTAAATTGAGTTTATTTCCTAGTATGAGTTGTTTAGGAGTTTTACCTTAATTAGGACATGTAGTCTATTTATACCCCTTAAGAGGGTTATTCAAACTATGCTTTTCAATAAGAATTTGTGTGTTTAAGCTATATGCTTTAGGCAACGGTTGCTACCGTTGATTGTTATTTTCTGTCCTTATCAATTTGGTCCGACCTGCCGGATCCCGTCCCGCCACAATGACGACAAGATCTCAAAGTGAACGGTTGCAAGAATTGGAAACTGAACAAAGTCGCATAGGAGAAGAGGTCGCCCGCTTGGGGGCCGAACAGATCCGGACGAACCAGACTCTCGCCGATCATGGTACGAAACTAGAAACGATGAACCTAACACTCGGAGAACACGGGGCGAAACTGGAGGAGATCGCGTCCTCTCTGGCCGCGATAACAAAGGCGTTAATTCCGCCTAAATCACCGACCGGCGACGAGGTGGGTGCCCACATCAGCACGCTGATCGTGCCGCATAGCGACGGGGAAGGTCGCACTTCCACTCCGACGCCACTTCCCACGTTTGATGGTGGGGACCCGATCGGTTGGTTAGCCCGGGTGGAGCAGCAGTTTGAGTTACAGGCAACCCTACCGGAAAAAAAGGTGGCTGCCGCTATGGTGGCCATGGAAGGAGGAGCACTTTACTGGGTGACGTGGCTGAGATCACGCAAACCCAATCTATGCTGGGACGACTTCAAACAAGCCCTAGTGACTAGATTTGATTCCCGATACCAAGGAAACCGATTTGAACGTCTTTCTGGAGTCAAACAAGACGGAACAGTGGAAGATTACAATATTCTTTTTGTCCAATTAGCCAGCCAAGTTCCCGGATTGACCGACGATCACTACATGGGGTACTATATGAACGGGCTTAAGGAAGAAATAAAGTGCTCACTGCGTTTACTTCGTCCAGATTGTCTAGAAACTGCTATGGAATTGGCCCACGGAGTGGAACATAAGCTGTTAATTCAGAATGGTGGAAAAGGGGGAGCGAATCAATATTCTTCCGGATCACGCCCCAGTATTTACCCAAGGTCAAACCCGGGGTTTTTCCCGAGTACGGGCAGCAGCAGCTCGCGTAATCCCAGTGGCAGCATACCAAGGGTCACGGGTCAGCCGATGGGACCCACATCACGCGCGGGCCGCAGCAGTTACCGGTTCTTCCGGGCAAACCACGGAACGTTCCCGATTTACCCGACTGCCCACAAAGGTACTAGACGAATTGCGCGCCAAGGGATTATGTTTTAAATGCCGGAAGCCGTTCACTCCGGGTCACGATTGCCCTTTTAAACAATTAAGGGTAATGCTTGCAGAGGAGGACGAAGAATTTGATTTTCAGCAGCACGACTATTGCGAAATAACGGGGAAGGAAGAGCTGCCACTTTACGAAGAACCCCCTGATGGCGAAAACAGTGACTTTCCGGTGTATGCCATGGCTGGAATCTTTAGTCCCCAGACAATGAGGCTTCGCGGGATCATCAAAGGGTGCTCCGTCACAGTGCTAATCGATAGTGGGGCTAGCCATAATTTTGTATCGTCCTCATTAGTTTCGTTACTGCACCTCACACCGGACAAGACTGGTAAATTTGGAGTACAATTGGGAGACGGGCACAGGCAAGAATCCGAAGGAGTATGCCGTCAGCTGCCCATAAGCTTGCCGGGATGTGCTATCAAAACAGATTGTTTCGTATTTCCATTAGCTGGAGTGGACCTCATACTAGGGGTTGCGTGGTTAGCAACGCTAGGGGAAGTGCGAACAAACTGGAACAAGTTAACCATGCAGTTCAAGGTTAACGGCAAGCAAGTCGAGTTAAAAGGGGATCCTTCCATGTGTAAGAATGCAGTGAGCTTACGTTCTCTTCTTAAAACAACCGATAAGGAGTTTGGTGCAGTGGTCCTCATCCGCGAAGCTAGCAAAATGGTGGGTGCTACGGCAGATACATTGGAGGATATTCTGGGAACATACGCAGAAATATTTAGCGGCCTACAAGGGCTGCCACCGCAACGCTCAAGAGACCACCGGATCGAGTTAGTTCCCGGGGCGAAACCAGTTTCGATTCGGCCGTACAGATACGGCCATTTACAAAAGGATGAGATCGAGAGATTAGTTGATGAGATGCTTCAGGCTGGCATCATTCAGCCCAGTACCAGTCCATTCTCCAGTCCGGTATTGTTAGTAAAAAAGAAAGATGGCAGCTGGCGCTTTTGTGTGGATTACAGGGAACTAAATAAGTCGACTATACCAGATAAATACCCCATTCCGGTGATTCAAGATATGTTGGATGAGCTGGCAGGAGCTGTGGTTTTTTCTAAAATTGATTTGCGCTCCGGGTATCACCAGATCAGGGTGGCTAAAACTGATGTGCATAAGACCGCTTTTCGGACTCACACCGGACACTATGAATTTCGAGTGATGCCATTCGGGTTAACTAACGCGCCGGCTACTTTCCAAGCGATCATGAATGATTTGTTCCGGCCCTATTTGAGAAAATTCGTGCTGGTATTTTTCGATGACATTTTGGTATACAGCAAAACATGGGCCGAACACCGGGAGCAGTTGGATCACGTGTTAAGTATCTTGAAGGCGCATCAGTTCAGAGCCAATAGGAAGAAGTGTAGTTTCGGCCAGCCACGTGTGGAGTATTTGGGACACATCATATCTCAGGCAGGGGTGGCTATGGATCCTGCCAAAGTTAGTGCGGTGGTAGAGTGGCCCCGGCCGAAGTCTGTACGGGAAATTCGGGGGTTTCTGGGGTTGACTGGTTATTACCGAAGGTTCGTAAGAGAGTATGGGTTAATTGCACGTCCACTTAAAAACCTTTTAAAAAAGGAGGCCTTGCACCGATTTCAATGGACGGAAGAGGCCGAGAGAGCCTTCCGCCAACTTCAGAAGGCCTTGACCGAGGCACCAGTGCTTGCCATGCCCCAGTTTGACCGCCAATTTGTGGTGGAATGTGATGCATCAGGTATCGGTGTTGGGGGCGGTACTTATGCAAGAACGGAGGCCTATTGCTTATTTTAGTAAATCATTGGCTAATAGAACACTGTCTAAATCAGCCTACGAGCGGGAGATGATGGGACTAGCTTTAGCCGTGCAACATTGGAGGCCATATTTAATTGGAAGAAAGTTTATCGTGCGCACGGATCATCGAAGCCTTAAGCATCTACTCACCCAACGAATTGCAACGCCTTCCCAGCAGGTTTGGGTTGCCAAGCTGCTTGGCTATGACTTTGACATCGAGTACAAAACGGGAATTTCAAATGCGGCTGCGGATGCTTTGTCTAGAAGAGGCGAAGAGGCAGAATTGGCAGCAATTAGCATACCAGAATGGATAGGATTGGCTGACATAGAGGAGGAGCAACGGAATGATACCAACTTGCGGGACATTATACAGGCAGTGGAGGCCGATCCGAATAGTATGCCGGGCTATGAATTAAAAGGACGAAGGCTGATCTTCGAAGGACGGTTGGTGCTGGCTTCAGACTCAAAATGGATTCCTCTCCTTTTAAAAGAATTCCATGACACGCCGACGGGAGGCCACGCAGGAGCTTATCGGACCTACCGAAGACTGGCCATGAATGTAACATGGAGAGGAATGTTCCGTAGGGTGCGAGCTTATGTCGCTCAATGTTTGGTCTGTCAAAAGGTAAAATACGAGGCCGCATCACCAGCAGGACTGCTGCAGCCCCTGCCGATTCCCAACCTGGTTTGGGAAGATATATCCATGGACTTCATCACTTGTTTACCAAAATCAAAAGGACACACATCTATTCTGGTGGTGGTAGACCGTCTATCCAAATATGGGCATTTCATTGCACTCAAGGCCCCTATCACAGCACGTTCGGTGGCAGAAACATTCGCCCAGGAGATAGTTAGATTGCATGGCATTCCTCGCTCAATTGTAAGTGACCGAGATTCTCTATTTGTGAGTGCTTTTTGGAAGGAGATTTTTGCCTTGTCGGGTACACAATTAAAGTTTAGTTCGGCATACCACCCGGAAACCGATGGCCAAACGGAGGTATTGAATCGAGTATTAGAGACATATTTGCGGTGTTTTACTTGCGAACAACCAAGGCAGTGGATACGTTGGCTACCGTGGGCCGAATATTGGTATAACACTGCTTTTCAAACGGCAGCAGGAATATCCCCATTTGAGGTGGTTTATGGGCGGCCACCCCCCACAATTCGGCAATATCTACCAGGAGAGGGCAAGGTGGCAGCCGTGGCAGATGTACTGGGAAGTCGGGACGTCATGTTAAAGCGCATTAAAGAAAATCTGCAAATTGCACAACAACGCATGGCGACCCAGGCCAATAAGCATCGCCGAGACGTAACTTTCCAGGAAGGGGACAAGGTATTCTTAAAGGTTAGACCACACCGACAAACCACTCTTTTCCGCCAGCCACATAATAAGCTCTCGGCCAAGTTTTATGGACCTTTTCTAATTGAAGCACGCATTGGACCTACTGCTTATCGTCTTGCACTACCGCCAACTAGTCGTATTCACCCAGTATTTCATACTTCTCAGTTGAGAAGGGTAGTTGGAGATCATCCGGTTGAAAGTAACTTACCAGAAAGTTTAGAGTTACCAGTTGGGCCAATTTTTGAGCCTGAAGAGATTCTGGCAACACGAAAGAAAAATGACAAGGAAGAAGAGCTATTAGTCAAATGGGCAGGGCAGTCAACTGATGATGCTACATGGATGGATAAAGCAAGATTTCGGGGCCAATTTCCAGACTTCAACCTTGAGGACAAGGTTCTTCCGAGGGAGGATGAAGTTGATACAGAGCAGCAGATCGCTCCTGAGGAGCCAGCGATCGAGGAAGATCAGGGCCTTAGGCCCTGGATTGTTTACCGGCGGCGTGGACGGGATGGGCCCACATCCGTGGGCTGGGGCGACCAGCTTAGTGGCTGAATTATTATGGTCTTAATTAAATTAGTTATTAATTTTTAGTATGTTTCCTAAATTGAGTTTATTTCCTAGTATGAGTTGTTTAGGAGTTTTACCTTAATTAGGACATGTAGTCTATTTATACCCCTTAAGAGGGTTATTCAAACTATGCTTTTCAATAAGAATTTGTGTGTTTAAGCTATATGCTTTAGGCAACGGTTGCTACCGTTGATTGTTATTTTCTGTCCTTATCATGTTATCATATTTATGTAAATATATTTTTCATGTCTCCGACTAGTCCCCTAGGCGTTGGGCGCTACCCTGACGCCCGCATAGCGCCCGCATAGCCTGACCAAGCTAATTTTGGTCATGCACAACATATTTTGCCCCAAATAAGATGAGTTTTTTAAGACTCGCTAAACTAGTAATGAACTTAATTTCCATCTAAACTATGCTATTTACAGCCGATTTAGTTTTCAATGCACAAAAACACCCCTTACCAAGTAAAAATATGCTACTGAATTGAGTATAGATTGCATAGTGAGGAACATAACCAAGTACAAAAGAATACATGGTAGTCTATAGTTGATAGATCAAAAAATATATGATCCCTAAGTCCTAAGAATAATAATAATATACACATTTTTGCCAGTTTTAGTCCTTGGACTATTTTTGTGAATGACACTTTCAATATTCGCTTTTTTAATATTTCCAGTTTGATTCTCTGGTTTTGTCAGTATATATACTTTTGACACTCTCCTTTTAGTATTTCCACTTAAGTCATCTGACTATTACTAATGAGGCAAGTTCAGTATTCCAAATACAGTCATAGAGTGACACTCTTAGTACTCCACCTATTTACAAAATTTAGAAGCCTAATGGCAAAATAATTAAAGAAGAGTACCTGAGATGTCCTTGTCACAACAGCCGAAGGATTCAAAGTAGAAGAATTCAAAGATAAAGCAGCGATTTTTTCTTATCTAATAGCAAAAGGCAGTTAAATACCTGACATGGTTCATCATTACTTGGAGAAGCAAGCTGAGTCAGCTCACACGCCACAACTTTAGTGCAATATATCTTATAGATCACTTCAGCTATATAGGTCTTTCTTGACTCAGATTTAGAACCAACCGCATCAAAAGCGATATAAAATGTTTTACCGAGATAAATTTTGCACTCAGCATACCAAATCTTCTTGAATATGATATCCTCGTCGCTTGGCTAGAGGGATTGATAAAACATATAGTTATGCAACTGACAAGTACACATAAAATTACTATCAAATAAAAAAGTGCAATACTAATCTGAATGAAGGGAGAAAATCTGTTGAGTTTACATGTTGCTTGTTGTAGAAAGCAATTGCTTCATGGGTACAGTTCTTCAAATTTTCAAAAAGCTCCTTATCCTCCAAACTGACCGGAAATGTCTTCCCTAAAACCAGAGCTGGGCAATTGTCGAGACCTATTGGCTAAATAGATATCATCAAATAGTCAAATACAAATACTAACATGGCTTAATTCATATACATTGCAGTCATTGTTAGTTTATTAATTATGGTTTAATTATTACCCTGTACAAAATGGGTGGATCCCCAACCAGGCAGAACAGTGGCCCAGGGTTTTAAATAGCGGCAGCGGTCATAGCGGTAGCGGTCAATGCAGCCACTGCGGCGTGAAATATTTTCAAGTTCGTCAATAGTGATGTGGTCTCATTGTGGTTGGAAGCGGCCTGTTGCGGCCAGTAGCGGCGACATCGCGTTTCCGTAGCGAATTTCATCGTGATTTGCCCCGCAATAGCCGCCTGTAATGGTAGCGGAACCGGCCGCGCCCGCTATATAGCGGCCGCTACGCCTGTAGCGGTCCACTATTGAAAACCTTGCAATGGATTACTAGAGGAAAAAATCAAAACAAATTCATTTAATATTTTGAAGGCAAAATCAAAACATTTTGGATTAAAGCATTTTGAAGCAGTGATGTCAATCTCAGAGTGTAGTGGCCTACAAAAAAATGATAAGTATTACTCAGTCTTAATTTTCATCATCATATTTAAGGGAAAAGACTCACTATTTTTTGGCTTGGGAATATGATGGAATAAAGCAAAATGGTTCACCAAATTGTTTGCGCTTCTTTATTATGAAGCAGTAGTCAGTCCATTCAATTTTCGATGCAAATTTCACTATGGGTCATCCAGAAACAGTCTCTCTACGCGTTAGTAAGGGGTAAGGCTGCATACATCCGACCCCCTTACCCCACTATAGGTGGGAACCTTTGAGGCACTAGGGTAATGATGATGATATTTACAAGGGAAAAGGATCAAATATGACCTTTTACTATTATGGAATCATCAAATAAGACCATGTACTTGATAAAGTGTCAAAAAAGTGTTAGATAAATACGTCTACTTATAAAAAGCAATCATATGAGTCCTAACGACCCATTGAAAACCTCCAAATCCTACCTTAGCTTACTTGTCGTTATTTTTGTCTTTTATTTAAAGTTTTAAATCAATCCTGACTAAATATTCCACGTGAACCATATAATCTGTTTTAAAAAGATAGCAAGACGTACGTTAAAATCGGAATTACAAGGTTGTCAAAAGGTCATTAAGACTCATCTTATTGCTTTTTATAAGTAAACGTATTTATATGACAATTTATGAAGTACACGGCCTTATGTGACGATTTTGTAATAGTAGAAGGCCTTATTTGACCCTTTTCTCTATTTATAAATGCTAAATTACCAAAAACAAAGTCATCCTTTGAAGTCATAAATCAAAAGTGACACTCTTCTTATCCTAAAAATAGTTCAAAGTATTCCCCAGACAAGAAAAGTTAAGATTAACTCCTAGAAAGGTTAAGATTAACTCCTAGATCCTGACTGAGACTTCTTAAGCTTCTTAATGTGTTAAAAATTTGTCTACTACTATTCTTCCTCATTTCTCCCCAAATCTGCTATGTCTCAATCTACCCTCTGACTCGCCCAAAGCCCTGTGATGAGATTTTGCGCACCAGCCACCAGTAACTAAGGCTGAGTCGCAAGTTGCGGTGATAGTCGATGAAGAACCATAAAAGAAACGACATGGTTTTCAATCTTGGGATGAGTATTATGTACTTAGAAAGGTTTTAATATGGTTACTTTTTATTACAAAAGCTACTTTACCCATTCAAATTTCAGTAGCACCATTATAGCACCCTCCAGAACCGTTGTAGTTATGGGTATTCCCATTCTATTCCACAACTATTGACAGTATTGAGTGTTATTGAGATCATTGTTTTAAAGTGCTGAATTTAGGGACAAAATGATTTCATTTCAGACTTTTAAAATGGGAATGGGGAACCAACCCACCCAACCACTCTACCCACCCACCTACCCATCGATCCATCCATCCATCCATGCATGCATACTCACACAGACACACACACATAGATGCATAGAGTAGTTATTAGGTTATTGTTTGCAATTGCGCAATGTCATACGCCATACGACAAGCATCATCTATTTCTCTGGTCATTGTGTAAAAGAAAATTTGGAAAATGCCCAAAATCAAATGAGGCAATAGGCAGATAAGCATCAGAGAGAGGTAGTTCTAGAGGTGGGGGACCTGGTATACTTGAAGATTCAACCCTATAAACTAAGGAGTTTAGCCAAAAGAGTCAACCAAAAACTAAGCCCTAGATATTATGGGCCCTTTGCAATAATTGAGAAGGTAAGTACTGTGGCCTTGCTGAAATTACCTGAAGACAGCAAGGTACATCCGGTGTTTCACATTTCATTATTGAAGAAGGCAATATCACCTACAACAGTTTTTCAACCATTGCATAGATGTCTGGATGAAGAATGGGAGTTACAGGTGGTCCCGGAAGACATTTTGGACACTAGAATAAATAAAGAAGGAAAGGTGGAGGTTCTGGTACATTGGAAGGACTTGCCACAGTTTGAAGACTCCTGGGAGTTGCTGGAGACACTGACAGATCATTTCCCAGGAGTTCACCTTGGGGACAAGGTGAATTTTCAAGGGGGAGTAATGATAGGCAGTGGGCAGAAAGGCCTAGTCATTACTTTAATAAAGTTTACAAAAGAAGGGATAAGGGGGCTGGGGTTAATTAGCGTATTACTTTTCCTTTTAGTCCAGTCCACATAAATAAGGGAGGTAGTAAAAATAAGGCAGGCAGTTATTCAGATAGTTGTATGTGGGAGATTGGGCATCTCGAATCTTTATATATATAACAATGGGATCGGTTGGCAATAAGTGTTCCCGCCTGATCCCATTGTGCTAAACGATGGTAATTCCTCTTACGTAATTAGTGAACGTGTCAATTAATAAATCAGAAATTGTCCTAAATAGGACTAATGAGTTCCTAAAAAGCACAAATAGGACTACTACTTTTAAAATTCCCTAAATAGGACTAAACATTGATTTTCTACCCTAAATAACCCTAAGAGTATTAATTCATAATGAAATGCTTTAATTCATAATAAAATCATAAAAAACGTAAAAAATGTTTAAAAAACGTAAAAAAATTATAAAAAATTTATAAAACATTTATAAAATAAAAAATTTAATTTTTTATTTTTTTAATTTTTTTAAAAAATAATAAAAAATAGTAAAAACCCATAAAAAATGAAAAAAATTATGGATACCTTTCCCACCGCGTCCCGCCGCCTCCCAACACCACCACCTCTGATTGGTGAAATTTCTTCCACTTTTGGTAAAAAAATGCCATAATTTTATGAAAATGCCAAAAAGATGGCATAATTACTCTTCAATATGCCAACATTTTCATTGAATATGCCATCATTATGGCATTATTTAAAATGTTGGCATATTTTTCTCCGGTGATGGGAGCTGGTGGTGCTAGGGGTGGCAGGGGTTGTAATGTTTTTTTTTTTAATTTTATGATTTTTTTACTTTATCTTTTTTTTTTAATTTTTTTTTAATTTTTAAAAGAAATATTTTTATTAATTTTCTATTTTTTTTTACGATTTTTAGTATTTTTTTCGATTTTTATTATTTTTTTAATGATTTTATTATTAATTAAAACATTTCACAAGTTACAAGGGTATATTTGTCCAAACACACATAAATAGTCCTATTAAGGGAATTTAAAAAATGTAATCCTATTTGTGCAATTTTGCCACTTTTAGTCCTATTTAGGGAATTGACTCTTAATAATTACCGATGATTATCACTTCTATTACTATCGTATTAAAGAGCATTTATTGAAATTAGTATCCACGATCTAAAATTTAGGTCGGCACACGATCTCATATAGCACGAGGCACGAACTGCAAGGTATGTTAAATTCATAAACACAACTTTATTACTCAAATTAATACGGAGTAAATTATATAGCACACGTTGCTACATAAAATACAGATGGCATCACTGGAATATGCTTGAGTAGTTTGTACCACGTTTTGTAACCCCCTGCACACGTCCAGTCTCACTTCCAAATAGATACATGATTCAGCATAGGATTAAATTACCTTTGGCCGGAGCCTATTGCAGACATAAACGAACTCTTTTGGGTAAGGTTATCAAGATGTTACGTTTTTCGACAAAGTGCTAGATATTAACAAGTCCAAGACAAACTGGGCACTAAGACTCAGGCTGATTTGAGCATACACTACTCCATCTTTCAGTAACAAAAGTATCACGAATACTTTGGGGTGCGTCTTCCATGATTCTGAGGTACAAAAACATACTGGAATACTACAGTTTGGTCAAATGCTTCATTCCATCTAGAACCTAACGTGAATTTTTTGTAGAGAAAAGAGGCAAATAAGCTCTCCAACTATTTGCAAATTTGCAATTATGCCCTTGAGTTTGAAGAATTGAATATACACCCCTCAACTCATTGAAAATGATGCAATGAGATCCATTTTTACCTGTTGGTTGGGGTTAAGAAGATGACATATTACCGACACCAGCAAGTAAAAAGCTCATGGGTCTGATTGCAGAATTGCAAATAGTTGGAGGGCTTATTTGCCCCTTTTCTAGGGCAGAGTGCACGCTACAATTCGGATTAGATAATTTATTTAAGACCACCGACAGAAAATATGAGACAGCAAGAGTAACAACGAGAGGAGGAAAGAGCTGCTATGAGCATATGAGTGACTATCGGAATACCGAAGGAGTGAAAGCCAGACAGAGATAGATGGAAGATAAATTTGTGAGGAGCAACTATCGACGATGGAGAGAGAGGCTAGACCGCTTTGAAAAAAAATCAAGGGTTTCTAATGAATGTGAGTGAGATGCCTCAGTTTATTTTGATATGGACCTACTTTGAGCTGACTTTAAAAATGTCCCTTACTTTTTGTTCCATTGAATCTTTTTTCCATTTAAGGATTGGGTTGCTCTTATTCATAATTTCATATATGAAATCTTTTGTAGAACATTGTTTAAACAAAGTTGATGAGTAATAATCCGTATTATGCACATGATTGCTGTTTAATTATTTATTGGCTT